CACATCAATACATTCCTCTTCCCTTCATGACATGTCTCCTTAGACCCGGAATATGGATTTTAGAGAAGTATTCTTTCCAATCAATGCTCTTTGCATCAAACCCAAAGCTCCTCCTTTCTTCTTCAGACATGTCCTCCATCAACATCTCAGTGTTGGTGTTATCAAACCTATCAACAGTTTCATTTGTTTGGTTCGTTAGTTGATTAATTAAAATTAAATGTGTTCAAACTCTACTCGATCCAAACATACAACATGTCTCTACTCGGTACTCAATACTCACCTTCCCCCATAGAAAGTGTATGGCTCATATATGTTGGCCAAATGCTTTGCCTGGTCGGTTAGTTTTTGGAATAGATATTCGTCTTTCTTGGAGAGCTTCCCGTTGGATACCACCTCTCTACTTCTTTGAATCACATCCGTCTGTAGGTGGGAGGAGAAGTCATCCATGGAGCTGAACAATTTCATTCTGGAAACATGAACTGACCTCCCCTTTGAGTCCTTACAAGGGAACGATGTGAAGTAATCGTAGAAAAGTCTGACCAGGTCTTGATAACTTAGTGGGTTTACGACAGATGAAGCAACCTGGTAGACATGCAACTCAGGTTTCTGGGCTGCCCCATGCTTCGCCATAGCTGCCATAGTTGCGTTTACGACCATGTCCGCCGGGATCTACGTACGTACAACCACATCTCATCAACATCTGTTTAATTAATTTCTCCGGTCGCCAATCTGCAGAGACAAGTGAAGAAAAAGGAAGAAATACTTACCACATCAAGGACTGTCTTTGGGTCTGTAAGGAAACCTGTCAGCTGGCCTTTTCCATAAGACAGAATAATTGGGTCCATCATCCTGATCAGATATCCCAACAAACAAACAAAAATCAGGCACTCAGAACTGAAAGCTCGACCGATGTCTCTGTCTGGAGATGGACATAGCCATACATGAGAGAAAGGTACGTACCTGATGCCTTCAATCCATCCGGGGAAGGGCTCCCTCAGGGTGCTCTCAATGACGCTTGGACGCATGATGACCACCGGTATGTCTCCTCTCATGCTGTTTAACAACATCTCACCCATGGCTTTGGTGAAGACATAAGTGTCTTGCCATCCATAGAGCTGTGCCCTGTTAACGAGATCATCATCAAATTAATTACTGAACTTCTATTCTAAAGGCTTCAATTTGAATTCATCATTAAWTGGGTTCTAGTTCAAACAACTCACCTCTCTAAACCCAGTTCTTTCATCTTCTGGGCCACTGTGCTCTCATCGCAAGCCTCCTTAGAATCTGAAGCCAACTTAAGCTCAGCTTCAAAATCCAGTACTGGGAGGGATGCTGGTGGGGTATCTGGAGAGAGTTTCTCCCTTGCAATGCTGTCTCCCATGTAGAAGGGCTTCTCCATTACTTTGCCTTCCCTCTGACCATTAACATACGCTGTGTGCCCGGCGGGAGGAATAGAAACAACATCTGTCAGGTGTCAGACTGTTGTTTACAGCAATCTGAGCTTATTGTTAACGTGTTAC